GATCAAAAAACGACCAAAATAAAAGAAGGATAAAACACATAAAAAACGTAAATCACATAAATAAAATCGCAAAAAATTTCAATTCAATTTTATCAAATTAAGTTACGTTTTCGTTCTTTTCTCATTGTACATTAGTCATTTTGCTGATATTGTGTTTGGTTCGTCATCGTGATTTACTAAGAGTTTGGAAGTATTTGAAATGTTTTCTTAATCGATCTTTTAATTATCTTCCAGTCGGTCAAATATATTTGTGTCAGCACGGGCGTTTGATGACATAAACAACGTTATTGTCTAGCTGGTCGATGTATAAACCTTTACCTGCTTTATTATTGGTCCTAAGTGCTGTTATTATTCCGAGTTTGTCGAATAAAATTGTTATTTTGTTTCTTTTCCTTTCTAAGTGAATACTGGCAATCTGTTGTTTTGCGTTGTTTCCTTGTCAAGCCCAAAACAGCGAGGATAGATACCAAAGTACATAAAATAAAAACACAAATTTAACTCACAAAAAACAGTGCAAAAAATTAGAAAACAATTATATCGCAACAAAAAGTTTAACAACTACTGCTTACGTTTTTTTCTAAAGGTGATTATTTCTAAATGAAAATAGAGATAAATCGCCTATCACGAAATCGTTAAATTTTTGATCTTTCAGTTAAATCATAATCACAAGAATTGTAAAACTTATTAAATTCACTAGTTTTCGTGGTCTGCTTGACCAATTAATATTTTTCAATTAATTAATGTTTTTAACTGAGATAAAAAAGTCAGTGTCACGAGCGGGATTCGAACCCACGGACCTTCGGCTATGTACGCCGCTACTCTACCACTTGATCTATCGTGACTTCGATCCACTCGGAAAATTCAAATGGTGGGGTTGAGATGGAAAATGTTCTAGTGGATCGAGGTCACGATAGATCAAGCGGTAGAGTAGCGGCGTATCAAGCCGAAGGTCATGGGTTCGAATCCCACTCGTTACACCGACTTTTTTATCTCAACTAAAAACCTTAATTAATTGTAAAAATTATATTTAACATAAGAAGTGTTATTTCATTGGAATTTTTAATATGGTCATATCCGAACGTGTTAGAAAAAGTAATTAATCTAAACTTTAAAGTTAGTACAGTTCGTATGAAAACGATGGTGATATAATCACCGTGAGTACGACAATTAAAAAACTTTTTTATTTTGAAATAGTTTCTTTCAGTCATAATAAATGGTCTTTATTTCAACATGCATCATTATGCTTTGTTGTGACCGTTAATCGATGATTATTCAGAAATCGTGGGATGCGGTCTGGTGTGATGTAGGTTTCAGAAAAACATTTTCTTTATCGTGCCAATGTTTCGATCTTTATTGAAGCCCTGAAGATGATCTCAATAAAGATCGTAACATTGGCACGATAAAGAAAATGTTTTTCTGAAACCTACATCACGCCAGACCGCATCTCACGATTTCTGAATAATTATGCTTTTTGTTTCTTGTTTTTAATTGTAACTTGTAATCATTGATAAAATGCAATTATTTCATCCTATAATGAATTAATTAATTATCAATCATTCTATAATCAATTAATTGAAAGTTCATACAATCGAGAGCTCATTTTCTCTATTAAGCTAATTAAAAAAACGTAAACAATTTCCGGGAAAAAATTAATTATCTGCCAAACTTGCGACTTATTTTAAGGTCATCATCAGACCAGAACAATCATAAAGAAGTCTACAAATTGACATAATTAAGTTTTTAATACATGATGTCAAATTTCTTTCGACTCAGAACCAAAATTGCCAAAGACTGTAACGTGTGCCCTCATATTTTTACCTTAAAATAGGTAGAAAGCTTGGCAGATAACAATTCAATTTTTTTGTCATCCAGACCATGCGAGATCCAGATTTTCGTTATTTTATACTAAGTCCATACATCTAATACAGTTTACAGAAACATTTGTCCGACTTCACCTCAAATTTCGGTTATATAAAAATTCTCTACTATTTTCCGGTCAAGGGAAAAGCAAAAGGAAGTACAGTTCACGGGAAAGCAATTAATAGCCCTTCGTGTCTCGAGATCACGTAAGCCATTGTAGAAATAATACTTTCCTCGCTCGGAAACTGGCGAAATAATTTCAAACGTCAAACGAAACTGCGGCAAAAGATATCTTTGAAAAATTACAATTAGAAATTATGTGAAAAGAGGCCGTTTACTCAGCAAACATACAAATTTTAACCTTGGCGAATAAAGTCACGAAACTCTGTTTTTACACCAGAACTTGGGCAATTATTACACCAAGAAAATCCAATATCAACGTTATAAGAACAGCGTTACATATTTATTTACCGGCTTAAATACTCTGGTAACCATTTTTATTTGTTTATACACAGATTGAGTATGTTGATTGGTTCCAATCTCCAGGTCGGCCTGGTCTCGCTTTTAATCACAAACATTGCCATCCGAATTTTGGCGTATTCAGGGGTAAGTTTGAATTCAGCTTAGAAAATTAATAAAAATATAATTCCGCAAATTTTAGCCTGAAGAAAAATCTCTTTCTGATTTGTAGCCTGTTCATGGAGGCCCGCACTCGCACATCACCTTTATGAATATTGCATGGCATTAAGTTTTTAATTGCCACTTTTTTTTCAAAATAAGTCCCTCCCATTAAGCACTTGCACTAAGCATAATCTCGTTATATTATTTGATATTATATAAAATGTAGGTTATACATTCAATATATTTGAAAAATCACTTTTCAGAAAATATCTTTTTTCATCAAGGCTGCTGGCACATCGAAAAAATCGTTTTCAGAAAAATAATTTTCAATTGCAAAAGTGCTTAAACCTCAGCCACCTCACTGAGAAAATGGGCTGGATCGAAGGGAAGATTTCGGAGTCGAGAATAACCCGGGGCGAAACGAGGTCCTTGTGTGTGCGAGGATCGCGGAATGAAACAAGAGGGGGCGCCGCTATTGGCGAAACTAGGCCATGCATACTAAAATCCTGGCATAATCTCGTCTCCTCGAACCCCTCACCTTCGAGATTGGCGCGGGGAAGGATGAAACTCGAGTAAGAGAGGCTGACGTACCGGCGCGGGGGCCGGAGACCCGGAACATTTTCCACCCCCGCGAACACATCCCCCGACGATGCCTATCCCCCCGAACAATCCCATAAACCGTCAGGTAAAGAACCTTGTTACCAGCCCCTCTTCAGACCCGGAGAGCAATCAACTCTCGGTATTTTTATTCTTTGCACTGTTCCTTTCCGCATCGTCCAATCATTCTCTCGTTTTTCAAAAAAGAAGGTTTGAAACGACGCTAAATCTTCCTCATTCGCGACAATGATGGGCTAGCAAATTAAATTCTTTCCGGCGCGATATATCTTCTTTAAGCTTTCTTCATTCCAACGACTTGAGCTCCGCATGACTTATGAACTCGTGGCATTTCCCTTTCATCCGTTTAGTACATCGTAGAAGAGACATTCGTTCAAATAACTCAGGGATTAAGTACTTTAAATGAAACACATTATGGCGTCTATAACAAAACCAATAAGTAAAAAAAATTGCTGTTCAAATTACAGCCTTGCTTCTCCAAAATTACATTTTGGCTTAGGTCGACAATCAAGGGTACAAAAACCATAATAAGTGTATGTCTGTTTCTGCACATTATTAAAAAAAACTAAACAATTTACTTAAGATTATAGGAAAAATTATAGACAACATATAACCAATTAATAGCTTTAATGTTACGCAACCACTACTGGTCTTTTGTCCATCTCTGTCTAGAGATCTGTTAAGCTTACAGCTTTTTTTCAGATTCCAAAGTTTTGTATAGGTGACACGTATGTCCTTAATGCTCAGACTTTTCACCCAGGAGTGTAAGAATCTAAGCCTTCTTAGCGTTCGCAACAACAGAGAGCATATTACGTTCTTTCTTTTTCTTCCTAGATAGATATATACTAACTGCAATATATAATTCCTCACTGAAGATGGCGCAAAGTCAAAACGCGTTTAACTAAATTCAATTTCATTTGTAAACCGGATATAGTCAGAATTAACGGGGATTCATTTCTATCTTTGAATCTATTTCTATTTTTGAATCTATTCTATCATTTTTATCGTGATTTCAAATTTTTCAACATATCTGAATTTTAGGATCATGGAATCGACTGGAGATACCACAACCTTGTACGACTGGAAGTTCCGAAGTTTTAATTGTTCCTGCAAGCAATATTGTGCGTGCATATGTGTGATGAAGAAGAAAAAGAGGGTAAAGAGTATGAGAGAAAGAGAAAAAAGGAGGAAGAGAACGAAGAGAGTAATTAATTTTAACAGTACAAAACCAGGGATCTACCATTATCCCAGGCCGCTCCTAGCTGAGTAGTCTGACCCTGGGAAGGGTTCAGAGCTCTTCATCAGAGATGTAGAGGTTAAAGTTAGTGAGTTGACTTTAGAACGAAAGCCGATCTCTAATGAGATTCGTAGTCAGAGTCAAAATCTGAGTCCGAAAGTCAGATGTAATCACCCAGTCCGGAGTCTGAGTTCTGAGGTGAAAATTATGTTGTACCTCAAAACAATTAGTCATAGACTGTAATTATAAACAGATTTATAAACGGTTGTGTGTGTTTGTGTGCGCGCTGAGGAAGAGAAAGAAGAGAGAAAGAGAGAGATTTCATCAATAGTTTGAAGTGTTTGATAAAATCGGGTTTTACTTTTAAATCATTTATAATAAACTCTGGCACGAAGTGACTGTTTTAAGATTTCCTTCAGAATCCGTGCATTGCGTTCTTAGGCTATAAAAACGCAAACGTGAAAACAGAGAAATGAATAGAATCAAATAAAACTTGACGTCCGGAAGCCCTTCGTGTAGTGTCAAAATGACACGTAAAAAAAAAGGCACGTCACGGCAGCAAAAGTCATATCAATAACTCATCAGTTTATTTGCTTTAGACCAAATATGAGACTATTTCAACCGACCATCTCCCAATTGTTTTTCACGAAATGAATAATTCAACAGCTGTCTGGTTTATTGTAATATGAATGTTGACCACGTGGTGCACACAGTCAAAGTGAACGGAAAAGATATCAAAATTTCATACGAGGGCTAACTGCCACGAGTGTCCTATATTGCCAGACTGGCCACAATAAATTTTAAAAAACACATGGCTATCAAAACAAGTGTAGGTAACAAGTTTCCAGTAGGGAAACATTCAAAATTCCACGTTGAAACAAGATTCAAGATAGCAGTTATAAAATGAATAATGGACGATGAAAAATAACGGTTAGCAAAAGGTAATAATTTTGAATCAAACCAAATAACTGAGCCTATCAGACAGAAGTTATCGTGTAATTTATATCCGACGTTTGTTATTTACGTACGGCATTCTAAATGCCGAGGATTTTTGTCATTCTCCTACTAACAAAGATACAGATACATGCTTTTCTTAATAACCGAGCGTTTAGTCAGCCCAGTGAAGCATACAAACGATAAGGAACGTATCGTTTTATATAAACATCGCCAGGATTTGCAAACAATAGTATTAGTTGTAACGAGGGAACTTCTCGACAATTAATCTAGACGCATATTTAACAGCACTGTACTAGATCATCGTTGTATTGCGCTGTAATGCGCACAAATGTTGACACAAACTGCGTTGGTCGAGGTTGGGATTCTCTGCCCCTTTATTGAAGATAACCGATAAAATATTGAATCTGAATATCCCAGTTTATCCCGTGCCCGGGGAGTCGGGATTTTTATTTCGTGTGAAATTTCCTCTTTCACGATAAATATTTAAAGTCCAGATGGATTCATGTTACGTAAGTAATGTACATTTTATATTTATGTTGGACCAACTAAAATTCCACGGGTTCTGCCGGGATTCTAACCCAATACCGGCGTGATAATACGAGTCGAACGTCCTAACCTTGCCATAATAAGTAATTTAAAAAATTAATTTTTAATTGTGTATGAATGAAATAGATTTTTCATCTTTTCGTACATGTCTTGAATATAGTCTCCAGTAGGATACTTACCATAATCCGACTTTTATTTTGATTCGCTGTAAATCTCCTGTGAATTTTACATGGGATCCTTCTATGTATCTGTACACGTGTTTCAAACCTGGGGGTGTTAATCTACCAAAAATTTAGAATCATTACGACTTTTTGTGGAAAGCTACTAGGCCAAAGTACGGTTCAGGGCCAGAAGTATTCATATCGGCTTCATCCTTGGCACGTATTAGTCTGGCTTGTTACTCTGAGTGCCCGGGAACCCATTTATTTGCTAATGACAACGGCCAAAGATTTCATGCAACTCCAGAAACATTTTGACTTCACCTCGCATTAGGTTCAAATTTTAAGAGCTACCTGAGTGTCAGAGTAGTATTCTAAGAGATATTTTCTCTAAAGTATTTTTAAATCCCTGCCCCAGTGTTCTACTGTTATAATTTTGAACTGAAAACCCATACATATCCAGGTTTCTTGTCAGTCCAGTCTTCGGATTTATTCCTAGGACACTTGCATTTCATGTTTTTGGAGCTGTCAGTGTACCAAAACGAACTGGCCTTCAAGGCCATTCTTGTGACAAGTCTTCCCTTTCTGGAGTGATGTAATTAATTTGTAGCTGTTAAAGTTGACTTTGGCAGTAGAGACATCAGTTAGCATACCTAGTAGTCTGGTTGCAGTCTACTTCTTCCTTAGCTTTAGCTGTTTATTAACATGGCCCAGCTTTTAGGAGTTTATGAGTAGTTGCTTTCGCTTCTCCTCGAATGAGTATGTGTAGCGTTAGAAGGTTTCGTAAATAGTTCCAAAGCTCCGATTGTTCTCATTGCTCCAGTAGTTCTAGGGCTTGTTAGACCGATTAAATTTGATCGCCTTAGCAGTACTTGGTCCAACACAATCGACCTGTGTGTGAAAATTCGTTAAACAACTCGAGTGTATAGCCATAGCTTTTGGTGTTTAATCCCAATATTTTTCTTACCCAAATAATCTGAGCTTCTTGTTTTCGTTTTCTTAGGTGTTGGTTTCGTTACACAAGATATATAACTGTGGAAAATTGAATCTTTAGCCAGTAGTGCACGTAGAATATTAAGGTTCATTAAATTCTCAAATGATTTATCTTATACAATTAAGGAAATAACTAACCAACAAATTACCCAAACGCATCTGACAATCAAAAACAGTAGGGTTAAACGGACTAGGATTTGATCAAATGGCGTAAAGACTATATAAAAAAAAACATCAAAAACAAAATCTTACATTTAGTTAATCCAAAAGAAGATAAGGCTTTCCATCAGTGCATTTTAATGATGTAATATTCTATTATCCAATTAATTTTGTTTACGAGATTTTTCTTTTATTTGCAGACCGAAAAGACAAAATTGAACACAGCAGTAATTGGTAAGAAACTAAATATAGACGGAAAATGGATAACGTCAGTGGGAGCCAACGTCTTTCCAAACAAGGGGACACCGCGAAAAGAGGAAAATCACCTCATAAAGAATTTAAAAAGAAAGGGAGTAAATCTAAGATAAAGGGGTCAAGGTCTAGCGGCTCTCGGCACTCGCCGAAGAGGTCAACCACTGTCATCAGCACCAAGGAGAAGACTCGACCTTTCAAGTACCCCGAGAACTACGGAAAGCGATGCCCCCTCCCGGTTCCCATTTTCCGGGACTTCTCGCACCGTATGGCAGCCATATCCCAGAATTCCAAACCCCGTTCCGCCCCGAAGCCGAAACCCAACCACGTCTACTTGCCGCCGATTTACTGCATCCTGGCCACTCTTCCCAAACTCCCCAAAGATGCTTCTAAATTAGATAAAAGCGATAGCGGGATGTTGACCGCCGACTCCTCGGTCATCTCGTTCAAAAGTGACGTACCTCTATGTGCGCGTCCTGTAAGAAGGAAACCGCCAGCCGAAAAGGCCAAATAAAGATAATTTTCGTCTTTTGCAGTCTGTTATTTTTGAAGAATAAAATCACCTATTTCCTTTAAAAATGTATTCATTTATTAATTTAACAATCGCAAAGACCTATAAAAATTCCCCTTCTTCTTATCGTCCTATTAGTTTGTTACTCGGTGCTACTAAATTATTCGACAAATCAATTAACAAAAAAATTGCTACTTCAATCAACATCTTACCAGACCATAAATTTGGCTTTCGAATCCACCATTCCTCCACTCATCAACTTCACCGGGTTACAGATTTCATTACCTCATGTTTTGAGCAGAAACTGTAAACGATAGGAGTGTTTCTACATGTTTCTCAGGCCTTCGACAAAGTATAAATACAATTAAAATTATTTTTACAGCAGGCCATTATATGATTATATAATCATACCTTAACGAGAGATTTTTCGCAGTATACGAGGGTAAGAATACTTTTGGGATGGAAGTAGTGCTTGCAGGTGTGTTACACGGGTCAATGCTCGCTCCTTTGCTGTACACAATTTTTAGTTCTGCTATTCCCACAAATGAGAAAGCACTTACCGCCATATACGCAGTAGACTCCGCCATATTAACAAGTCATCCCTCTTCTACACAAGCCTCACATATTTTACAAAACCACATATCAACAATTGAAAAATAGAGCAATCTTTGGAAAATAAGGTTTAACCCCTCAAAGTCAGAACATATCACCTTCACACTCCGTCGTTAGATTTGTCCTAGTAGATACTTACACAATGAACCTGTTCCTCAATCGACAAAGTTAACTATTTTGATAGAAGACTAACTTGGAATCCACACACGATTAAAAAACAGACACTCAACAAATGATTTAAAATGCTTTATTAGCTACTCGACCGACAATCAAAATTACCATTCAATTAATTGAGGTTTTTAGTTGAGATAAAAAAGTCAGTGTCTCGAGCGGAATTCGAACCCACGACCTTCGGCTTGATACGACGCTACTCTACCACTTGATCTATCGTGATCCATCCACTCGGGCACTAACTTCCCATCTCAACTCCACCTTTTGAATTTTTTTGAGATGGGAAGTTAGTGCCCGAGTGGATCGAGGAGAGTAACAGCGTATCAAGCCGAAGGTCGTGGGTTCGAATCCCGCTCGCGACACTGACTTTTTTATCTCAACTAGAAACCTTAATTAATTGAATGATATTAATTGGTCAAGCGGACCACGAAAATTAGTGAATTACCAAATATCAAAACTTTCGATATACATATACCAACTCAAACCTGTTAGTATGTAAGGGTAGCTTATGTATAGCATGTAGCTTATGGATCGGCCACCTATTCCAATATTCAAAGATAACAGTTACAGTTTATAAGATTATTTGAAATCCAAAATTTTCAGACTTATTTTTTTCCTCGTTTTACGTAAACAATAACACACTTCACAGAGATCTTCACATGACAAATGTTTTTTCATCCATCAAAATATATTATAGATGTTTTCATAGTAAATTACAAAATCACACACACAGAAATACGATTATTCCATTCCCTAGCGCGTAAACGTCTTAAAAGAATATGGATAAAAGACCTCTTAAATTATTAATATCATTTTATTAACCCACAGCGGCTGCCAATGGATAGCTTTTTCTACAACGCCTGTAATGCCATAAACATAAATTGAAATCCAATCTGCTGGTTATATATAATACATGTTCAGTTGTAGAAACAAATAAATAAAGTATTTAAAAAAACAGTCGCAAAGAGCAATTTGATTATCCCAGTAGACTTAGCTTATAAGCGGAATCACCTCGACAATTTACAAAAAAAAAAGAAAAGAGGCAGGAAGGGAGGAAAAATGAAGTGGAAATATATTTATTAAATCTAACAGGGTCGTGAGTCAGAGAACCAATAACGGTGTGATTTGCATTCCTGTCAGGATCAGGTGACCACTGGTTTTTCACTCAGCGGAGAAAAATACTCTGTAATACAGCCCCAGTTTTATCCTACCTGGATTTTCATAACGCGAGCGAAAATCCCACCTTAAAAAAACCTTTTTTTTCATTTGACAAAGTTCCAAATGATTTTCGAAGTGACAGTCTTCGTTTATTTCGCAATTTAAATTAAAATACGACGTTCAGTTTTACCAACACAGAGAATACATTATCCTTACAACCTCCACCCTTAACACAGCAAAAAATATTTTTAGTGGTTATATATTTCAACTATTTATTATTTTAAGCCTGGAGCCAACAATGCTAACATTTTGCTATAGTATTTCTCTAATAAGTAATAACGGTTGTTGCTGTTTGTTTTGTATAAAGTATTATGTCGTTTCTACTCGTACTAGTTGTCCTTTTTAAGGCGAAAACGAGCTAGCCAATTTGTTTCAACCGACCTACTGGGGTGAATTCTATTGGAAAAAAGCTTACTGTTTTATGTAGAGATTAGTGACCGTTAATCGATAGTTATTCAGATATCGTGAGATGCGGTCGGGTGTGATGTAGGTTTCAGAAAAACATTTTCTTTATCGTGCCAACGTTTCGATCNGAAGATGATCTCAATAAAAGATCGAAACGTTGGCACGATAAAGAAAATGTTTTTCTGAAACCTACATCACACCCGACCGCATCTCACGATATCTGAATAACTTACTGTTTTATTTAATTTCCATCGAATCTCCTGTTTTACGTTATTTCAGTGATGTACAAAAGCCTTGAAAAATTCTATCATTTTAAGAATGTTTTTACAACATTTTGTTGGGTGAACATCAAATTTTCCTTTGAGTTTCTCATTGATTAATATATGAAAAAAATACTTATATATTACAATAATTACAACGTGCTTTACAACACCATAGTTAAGCCGATATGGACTTACGGATTGGAAGTGAGAAGTTTAGTCAAACATTCCAACATCCTCAGCATTCGAACTGCCCAATTTTTAATCCGACGACAAATCCTTGATGCTCCATTTTATGTATCGAACCTAACTACATACACAGACATAAAATCTTCGGTCAAGATGAAATCCGTTCCCGTTACCACAAATTTCACAAAACCCTGCAAACCAGCGTAAATCAGGATATCGAAATCTTGCATCCCGATTAATTCAATAGAACACTCCTCGCCATCTGAAGAGACGATGGCCGCGAGGTCTCCTACAAAACAAACTGTAAAAGTGATAATGACATAAGTATTAATTACACAAACAACATTTTAGCACCATTGGAGGACTACAAATGGGTATTTTGATTTTATATATTGCATTTCCTACCTCATTATTACATGTTACCGAATTGAAGGTAGTTATAATGTACTGCAAATTAAAAAAAAAAACAAATAAAATAGTATATCATTAGGTAAAAATACATAAATACAGAAACTTAAATATCCTTAATAACCTTAAATATCCACAATCGTCTAAAAGGAACAGGAACAAAAACATGTTATTCTATAATATTTTCCATTATGATTTTGATTTCTGCAACGTATTTGATAATGAATGACATATACGAATGACATATTGACCCCGTTTATCAAGAAAGGAGTCAGAAAGTTTTGTGAGTTATCACACATGATGCACGATGTTACTTGTATCCTAAGGCCGACATTGTATGAAAATGCCACCTGGTCCTTTTCTTTTTCTTCTTGTGAGGGGGGGGGGGGTTTGCCTTGAATAAATCGGGCGCCGGCTGTTTTTCCAGTGGCAGGATCACAATGAGACTAATGGCCTGGTTCTCGAGCCGGCTAATATCTAGGGGCAGAAGACTCCTCCGGGTCGAAGAAAGGATCGATTTGTCAGAAAGAAATCCCGAGTCGTAATTGTGCCGGCCGTATAGAATCTCTCCGGCCCATTATCGCCTCTGGTGAAAAATAATTCTGCCACGTTTTGGGTAGAAAAATAAAATACAACATTAAATTAATAATTAATCGCTCTCATCTTGATCGTACTTTATAACGAGTTTTATCCCCGTGATAAAATATCTTTATGTCTCATCATCACGGCGAAAACGCTATATGCCCAAAATTAATATACTTAAAAATTAAGGGATGTTTGTCATTTTTGCCATGCCTTATCATTAAAATGATGATCGCTGATACAACATGTTTTTATGCCCAAATCGTTCTTACCAGGCACAATAAAAAAATACTATATTATTAACTTGATATAGTTGTATAAATTACAATCCTATATGCGCAATATGGACACGTAGTTACAAAAACATTTCATATTTGAAATGTACATAATAAAATTGATCGTATCCTTGATGACCATTCGTGCAGAACCCATTTGTGATTCCACTCCATCGGGCAATGCCGGATACTTTGTGAAGAAGGTAAAGTCCCAACAACATCACGCCCACATAACTAATACTTCAGTAGCCATACGACATTTTGATGACATGGGCGCACCACCACAAATGGCGTTGGAAAACAGGTCTGTCCAAACTAGCAAAGATGGGCGGCCAAGCATAATCAAAGACAACCAATTTTCAGATTCATAATCACCCAGAGCAAAACAACATCATCCAAGAAACCATTACATAATAGACAAGTTTAAAATTGTTATACTCCATCTTGGAAACTGGTTAACCCTCTAGTTTGTTCAATTCCGCGCTTTACAATTCAAAACATCAAAGATAAGAAGATAAGGATGATCAAAAATAAGTTGAATCTTTTATTATAAAAAAAGTTGTAAGTTCATCGTCACGTAGATTATAGGCAAAATTCTCCAAGAATCATCACCCGACAGACAAATTGAAAATTTTGATATTTCATATAAGTAATCTTCCTGATGGTTTACCTGTTGTTTAGTCGTTTCCGTGTCTGACTGGCCAAAATTAGCCTAGACGGGCCAGGATGATAGAGTACGACCAAATCACAGATTCATCCATCCGCATACCACCGACAAAATCATGAATCATACAAGTAAGTTTAAATGACTTAGAAAATTATGAACAGATGAGTATATGTAGCAACTAACACCGATCATTTACATTATTTACACAACAAAAAATACAAAGAAAACGAACT